GAAACAAGCTCAACTAAAAAATGAACAAAAAGATGCTGCTTCAAAAATTGTAGAGGTCCCTGATGTTTGACATCTAGTTATAACACACAGTTCCGGTATGTCTGTGACTCCAGCATTCTGTTTGAAAAGTAACGTTTTTTATRAAAATGATGGACAATTCCATGGGTACTTGTTTTGTTCCAAATCCCTCTCTTCAGAAACACTTTTCCTTTGCTCTGTTGTATGATCCTGCTTACTGCAATAAGGCAAGAAAACTCATGAGGGTGGAAGATAGAAGTTACGTTCTAGATGGACGGGAGAATAAACAGTAGGAGGGAAAGAAAGCAAACTCGGAAGGAAAAAATGGTACAGAAGCGGTGATATCTGAGGGCTTAGCACTGCTGAGAAAGTTGTGCATGATATTAGAAAAGATTCAGACCTAAGGCTGAGGCCAAAGGCAAGCGGATTATAAGAACCTGCTTTAGAGAAGGTGCTCTGTATGTGTGAACTCTAAAGGTGCAAGAGAAAGTGCCAGTTCATTCAGCCTGAGAAAACCAGGAACACTCAAGGATCCGAAATTTGAGTTCAGGACATAAATATGATGAATGTTCATCTGCCTTCTACTATTTACACCAAAACACAGAATTTATCTTAATGAATTCTCCTCAAAGCAAGGAAGTAGGCATAAACAGCAGCTATAACTAGCTGGAGGAAAAACTTCCTAGAACATTCCGGGGGTTTTGAGCCCGCTGTTTGATTTCTAAAATGAATTAATTTTAGTGAATTCCTAAAGAAGTCATTAATTTAAAAGAAAAAGTGAAAGTTAAGATGAGCTGAAAAACCAACAATGCTCAGTGTCAAAATTTGTGTAGTTTCTCCAGAGCAGTCTGGCCAGTTGCACCAGTTACTGAAGGTTACAGCCAGTTATGCAGAAAACAGAAGCTTGTTAACATTTCTAGACCAAATCAGCCCGTGCCTCGCAACTACATCACGTTCAAAACAAACACATCATCAGAGATCTGTCAACAAAGAATTCTTTATTCAGCAAATAATTTCAAAGAAGAGACGGCACGCTCAAAACGAGCAGAATGCTTCCTTCTTCACAAACAGAAATCAGGGAGAAATTAAATCATCAAATTAGCTGCCACAATTTACCACTGTAAGTAGGACTGCTCTGAGGCTCTTGAGCAGTGTGTTTCTGTGTGCAACTTGGAAGGAAAAGCAGAGGATAGAGTTGTCTCGGGGCGGGATAGGCTGAAAGATTTTCTTGCCTTTTCTTTTGCAAGGGCAGCCAGAATATCAAGCCTGATGTTTAATCAGATGTTCTGTTGGCTCGCAGAATGAGAGTTAGGAGGGAATTTCAAATTACTGAAATTGACAGAAATACACCATAATTCTTGGAATTTCCTCTTTAAAAAAAAAAAGGAAAAAAGAAGGATTTCTTAGGCCAGAAATGCTTGGATGAACATGTAATAGAGATAGATGGCACACATGAGGATTAAGGTTCCATATTAAATAGACCACAAATATCTCCTGTTATTTTATGATAAACAATCACTTTTTAAACTCATTCCCATTATTATTTTTTGTTTTCTGTCCAAATCCAGTTGGTCTGGGGATATCCTACTATGATTTTTTTTCAAGTCCTTTGTTTTGTTTGGTTCCTCTTGGAAGATTTTGAGTTCAAAATGTTAAGCCTGGAACTCGCATTCAAAAGCAGCTCTCTTGAGAGCTGTTTTGTGATAGAGAGGATTTCTCTCTGAGTACACTTGGTAGCTCCTGTATCCTTCTCAGCCTTGTCTCTTCTCCCATCCTCCCACCATCTGTGTGGCTTTGGAGAAGGACGGCTGAGAAAAGCAAGCCCCGAATTCTTGCTGCTAAAGATACCATCAAAACTGGACAGAAGTTATTTTACAGCTTTGATTTGCACTGTGTCCTATGCTGTTGGTGGCTGCTCCGACCATCCATTGTAGATATTCTCCCTGTCTCTCTTCTCTCACCTTGTCAGTCTGCTTAGCAGTTCCTTTCCAAAGGAACCATCCAAAGTAAACAAACGTTCGGGATTATGATGTGTTTTGACGACATGAGCTAACTAGAAGGAATAGGATAACCTTCTAGCTCGTAAAACGCCATGAGTCCCTTTCATAGAGAAAGCACAAATTACAGATCTTGCCAAAATTCAATCTCAGAAAAAATCTTCTACCCAAGTGTCCTTTGAATTTTAGTTAGYTCTTTCAGAGTTCCAGCATTTTTTCATTTGTATTTATATCTGCTTATTCTGGTCAGTGAAGAGACAGGGGGAAACAGAATTTGTTCATCTTTTCCAACAGCTTCACGTCATCCTTCCCCTTTTCCAAATGCACTGCTGTTTGGTTAGTGCCCACTTCAAATTTAGGTGGAAGAAATGGTTTCTCAAAGATCAGTCATCCTCATTAGCATTCCCACTGTAGTGCTAATGCAAGATATTTAGTATTAATGACACTGATATTCCTGCACTGTTTGTCCTGCATCTACAGTGCTTGCTGTCACCATAGGAAGTAAAAGCGAAGGAACGGTCCAGTCTCATGACCAAAATGGTGCACAGAAACCAAAATGGATTTTTTTATGAGATATTTACTAAATCATCATAGAGAGTGACAAGCAAAACTCACGGCACGCGCAGCCATGGAGTGGTGTTGCCGATTTGATAAATGGGAAGCTCAGTTGTTTCTGGATTAATGCTCTAACGTGGTGCCAGGGGATACTGTGTTGCTGGAGATATCATTATTTCACTGAGGTGTTTTGTCATTTAGATTGCACATTACATGCAAGAAGACGACAATGTCCCTRTTCTAAAGAGGAAGCAATCACAAGGCCGATTGCAGTTTAACCCCAGAGGAGGATAGGAGGGAACAGGATACAGAGCCATCAAATAGAGCAGAGTATGAGGGTATATGCTTGTTCCACCAGATGAGGAGGGAGAGACACAAGGAAGAAAGTCTCCACACTTCTCACATCACAGAATGCATGAGCGRTAGGGGACTAACACCTCGCAACTTACTTTGAAAGACAGATCGCATCTTGTATTGATATACAGTATTTATAGGTACAAAAGCTCTTTCACCTTCCCCTGAGCAGCAGGTGATGCAAAAAGCTTTAAGTTGGCCCCAATTTAAAAGGTATAATAATGAGAAGACAGAATACCATTAAAAGGCAGGAAAAAAGCAGAAGTCGTACCTGTTACCTGTAATCCGGAAAACTTCCTAAAACACAGCATGCGAGACATTTGGCATCAGCTTAAATACATACATTCTGCCTACCTAAAATTCATTTCTTGTTTTAATTTGATATGTTAATCACACTTGGTTTAGATTTAGTGCAGTGGAGATATTCTATTAGAACAGAATTAGTATGCGGTAAAGTTCATTTAAGAAGTAATGTGATTTACATAAGCCTTACTGGGTTTCAACAAGAACCCRGTGAATTACCCCAATTGCCTAAATCTCCTCCTTCCTCATAATCCTTTCTAGCTCCTCCAGACCTTTCCCTTTCCCTCTAGATAATCCTTTCACTTTTTTCTTTGCCTTAATACAATCCCAAGAAATGTACCGAAGTTACCACATACAACTAGGCCTTCTGTTTTCCAACATCAACAAAAATCAGATACRATGTGGAAGAGGAAAGACACGCCAACACTATATTAATTATCAGAGCATGCAGACAAAAATCCAGTTCGCAATCGAAACACAAGGGTCATCCAAGTAGTTTTATTTTTTAAATTTTACACAGAGATAATACGAGTTTGGAGCCTGAGAGTGTAAAGGGACACTAATGACTAGGGGTAGAGCAGCGGTCCCCAACCTCTCCTGACMTCGGACTATGGCTCGCTCAGCACTGTGTGCTGTGGGCAACATCACACTCTGCTCTCCCCCATGRCCTTCAGCTATAACTTTTTAATTTCCTGTAGCTCGGAGCAGCATCAGGAGGTCTCCCAAGTTTCTGTTGCTCGCTAACCCCTGAGCCACGGGCTGGGGACGCCTGTGAGGTACATGAGGTATCGTCTGACTTGGCTATGGATCTCCTTGCTCGTCGGGGCTGATGTGGGTGGGATAGGGGAACCCGCAAATATAATTCCGTGTGGTGGGTTTTTTTTTTTTTTTTTTTTTTTTTTTTGGTTTTTTGGTACAAACAGAGCTAAGACTCGTGACTTCACTTACAGACAGACACACACATCTGTGTGTATAAAATATACACATTTATATAGAGAGAGCCTACAGGTGTAACATCCTCCAAATTGTGTATCTTCAAAACAAGTTTTTTTTTTTATTTTTCACTTAAATTCAACAGGATTGCTTGGGTAGATGGGTGAAAAAAAATAAAGAAGCTCCAGAATTTCCTGTAACAGTTTGCACCATGTCTTTCTGGATAAAAAATACAGAGAATTTCCTCTAAACGACCCAAGCCAGCAGACGTGGGATCCTCTAGAGGACCCAAAGGGCGATAACGGCCCCTCGCACCTTCCTCCGTGCGGGGAAAATTTAAAATTACGACTTAAAAATAAAATTCTAAATTAAACTTCTAAATTAAAATTTAGCGGGGCCCCTTTCCCTTGCGGAGAGAGGGCCGCGGA